ACCTGGATTTTTTTGCTGTCATACATGCATACATGAAGTATCGTGAGTGCATTAACCCTACCAAATATGAACCCATTATTCCATTCCCTACCAAAGTTATGACATAAAGCAGTTTTTACCAAAAATCATAAATCACCCTGTATCTCAATAAAGAATGGCCAAGGAGCTATTTCTATAGGCGATCCTAGTTACCCTAGATGTCCTCTATCTCCCATTAAGCTATGTCCCTCTCGTGATGCAACAGCCTGTATGTAGTACTTACTATTTTCTATTTATTAGGTAAATAAGATTTTTTTTTACTCAAAATTTTATACGTAACAAGAAATTTTACGGCTAAACTTTTAAAATTATAATTTCAAATATTAAGTATCCAAAAGTGCTCAACGATAAAATAATAAGTATAATATTTTTTAATCAAATATGTTATTTTAGTTCTAGCCACTTACCCACCTTATTTGAATCAACGCTAGTTGGAACTCTACTAACATCTATGTACTCTTTACTAAATAATAATTGGTCTTGATAATAAAAGCTAAAAGAACATATGTTATTTTTTGTGTTATGCATATCGTATTAATTTGTCCACTCTAACTATGTATACACACTAATTACCCATTATTATTTTGCATTTTCCATTTATCAGTTATTTTTGTGGTAATACTATTTGTATATACCATGTCATTGTCATTACTGTATTACCTAGGTATTAGGTATAGTGTATGTAATTATATTTTATATCTGGAACAAACACTTTAATGAGGCCATAGGGTCCCTATTATTAAACAGTAGGTACCTACCTAATCATTTTGATAAACTCTTTGGAATAAATTTGAAGTTTGATTTTCAGTATATAATTCTTCATACTACCTACTATAATTTAGTTTCATACAATTATGCTAAATAAATGTTTGTTCTCTTGCAATCTGTTGGAGAAAATGTATTTGTCTCACATGAAAACTAAAATGCACAGATGCTTCGTCATGGAGATACCACATGTATTTTCTTAAATTTAAAGAGGTATTTTCCACTGACTCAAGGAGATAGTTTTCTTAAATATTTAAATATCGCAAAGCATCAAGCTTTCGAGGCAGAAAGAATGGCCTGAGCAAATGGTCTCTTACAATTCCAGCCCATACATTTATTGAGAAACATTGCTGGTGATGCCTGTTAACGATACCATGTGGATTTTCGTCTGATCATACATGAGTATTATGGTAATAAACCAAGATGGTGCAGTTGAACATTATATATTCGACAAAAATTCTATGCATCGGGGAAGATTTTCAGCCATTAAATGTTGTAATTTTTAGACATGGAAAAAAAGTAATTTTCTTTCTGGAAAGCAATTCGTTAGCGACCCTTGCGCACTTTTTTTGGATTTCTTTTGAATGATCTCAAAATTAATTGATTTTGTGCGGGTGGTCTAACAATTCTATTCTATTCCATTCTATTCCATTCTAACAATTTGCAAACTCTATAAGATTTAAAATAACGTGACAGGCGCCTACCTTTTGAGTACCTAGAATTAAACGGGTAAAGGTAAACAAGTCCCCTTCTGCATTTTCTAAATTTACTGGAGAACTAAATATTTTATATAACAAATACAAGAAGCAAAAATTTTCTAAACTCGATAGCCTTTCTGAAAATCTTGTGACATTCGCTATGCCTCATAGAACATTTTTTTTTAAATAGAAGTTAAAAACCATCCTTCCGCACTCCTGTTTTTATTAATATTAATATTATTATCGATTAGTTTCAGAAAATTTTATTACGCTTTCTTTTACCAAACAAAAATCTAATTTTGTAATTATTAATTTACGGCTTGTAACTGCAATATATTGCTGTCGTGGAACGACGTGATTGGCTATCGCATGGGCTTGATTTGTGCTTAGGGTTGCCAGATCTCCGGGTTTTGATGGTACATTTTTGGGCTCCGGGTTAACATGTAATTTCTCCGAGTTTCATGGAAAAATCTTGATTTCTTCTCCATACAGGGTGTCCCGAAATTCATGCAACAAAATTTGGTTATAGATTTTAAGACAAATTTAACCGTAACTTGAAAACAAAATGCAGCCTCAAGCTAAAACTTATAGACGATTCAAGTCTCATCATAGACTATCTTCTGGCACACATTTGGAGTAAATTTATGAGGTCTCACAAAGGGGCGAAAATTTCGGTCGCTCTTTAATGGCTTTCTAGTGGACTGATAATTTTTAAGAAATTTAAATATGCGACTAAATTTTTTTGGCTCCAAAAACAAGGGGGCCTACAAAAAATTGTCTTAAGGGGGCTCCCCACCAAAAAACGTAGCACCATCAGATGCCACATGTCATAAAACCCCTGTGTACCAAATTTAGTCATTCTCGTACAACAGGGTTCTGAGATATAAAAAAAGATTATCCTTAGGGGCGGACTTCAGGGGGCTGTAACTCTGAAAGAGGGGACCACTTGGCAAAAATAAAAAATACGGGTCCCCTAAATTTGTCTTAAGGATCTGTGACCAAATTTTGTTGCATGAATTTCGGGACACCCTGTATAATAGTCAAACAGAAAAATATGTTTCTATCACGCGAGCTCGCTATGGGACCTATAGTGTAGGGGGTTAGGTGCACGGAAAGTGCTAGATAGTACAACAGCGTGATGTTATTTTCATAGCGCAACNAAAACAAAATGCAGCCTCAAGCTAAAACTTATAGACGATTCAAGTCTCATCATAGACTATCTTCTGGCACACATTTGGAGTAAATTTATGAGGTCTCACAAAGGGGTGAAAATTTCGATCGCTCTTTAATGGCTTTCTAGTGGACTGATAATTTTTAAGAAATTTAAATATGCGACTAAATTTTTTTGACTCCAAAAACAAGGGAGTCCACGAAAAATTGTCTTAAGGGGGCTCCCCGCCAAAAAACGTAGCACCATCAGATGCCACATGTCACAAAACCCCTGTGTACCAAATTTAGTCATTCTCGTACAACAGGGTTCCGAGATATAAAAAAAGATTATCCTTAGGGGCGGACTTCAGGGGGCTGTAACTCCGAAAGAGGGGACCACTTGGCAAAAATAAAAAATACGGGTCCCCTAAATTTGTCTTAAGAATCTGTGACCAAATTTTGTTGCATGAATTTCGGGACACCCTATATAATAGTCAAACAGAAAAATATGTTAAAATAAAAAGTGCAGCGCATTGAGAAAACAACGGACTATTAGTAGGTACATTCCCTTCTTTGCAAGTCACTATACACTTTGTAAAATATATACAGGGTGAAACTTTGAATTGGGGTCATATTTATAGAGGGTTCCTTTGACCTTTAAAAACACATATAAATAGTTTATTTTTTCAAATTCCGTTCGTAAAAACTTAATTTTCTTTAAAACAATTTTTTAGTAATTTTCGTACTCCGCCACTGGAGAAGCTAGTGTAACCCCAAATAACGGCACGCTTTAGTCGCAGCGCATGCACAATTCTACACTATTCGCCGCTAGTTACTTTTGTTAAGTGAACGTTCGCCACACAAACAGTACTTATCAAGTAACCTAGCAAAAAAACTCGAGGGGTAATCAATAATGATAAATGAAATACACAAAAATAGTCTGTTGATGGCTTCCAGTGATGAAAATCGTTCAAATTCAGTTAGATGTACCGTCTCCAAATACGGAACAACTGACGCCCTTCACTTCGTCACCATTGACCCGCACTATCTCCCTTCACATGCACTGTATATTGCCTACAATTCATGTATTTGTAATAAATGAATATTACAGTAGCGGTGTAGAAAAGTATTAAAGTGCATTTTAAAAAACTAATTATATTTCAACTATTTATTTGATATAAAAAAAAAAAAAAGAATTTAAGATTCGTATTGAGGGTAACACGTACTATTACCCCTAAAAACTGACCCTCACTTAAAGTTACACCCCGTATAGGGGTAGTAACTCTAGTCAAATCCTTCTAGGGGTCCATTTTTTTCGGTACAGGGCCTTGTGATAATGGGCGCCTGTCAGACAATGCCTTCTTTTTTTTGACCAACAGCTTACAAAAATCTAAAGCTGAATCTTAATCTTTTTCCGAGCTCAGGCTATGGCTTCACAAACATTAATAAAATATTTTGCTGGAATCAATGTGGGTTTTAAGATGTTTTTGGACTGACGAGAAAAACAAACAATTCTGAAGTTTAAATATCTTTATTTATCAATGCCGTAACAGCATTTCTACCAGAACAAATTGTAAATGCATTAAAATTAGTTGTAATCCTCTCTTTGAAAAAAAAAACAGAGAGTTGTGGAGCATTTTGCCATCCCTTATTCGTAACTTATTTATTCCAACTAATATAACAACTAGTCCTAAAACGCTTAAACACCTACTTATCTTGAATAATTCCAAAATAAGCACTGTGTTTAATGGGTTTAGAGCAATATTTCATTAATAATTCACTTGGTTGCAGTCACAGCTCCTCATTTCACTTCTTACTTTTTAATCGTCTAGAATGTGACACTCACATCCTGTTAGAATAGGCACGTATTTTCTAACCATATCACAGGGAGAAACAAATGACTGGATAGAATAATTCTACTCTCATTAGAAATTTTGAGTGTATGTAATGACTTATCAAGTGTTCCTCTGCTCTGAATTAACCAAAATTTTATCTATATTACCAATCGAAACGAAATCCTTCAGTGATATTTTTGTGATAGAATTACTCTACACATTCACTTAAAAATCTATCACTCAACTTATAAATAAAAAACTACTAAATAAAAAAAAATGTACAATACTTTATAAGCTCGTATAATAAATATTTTATAAAAAACCTGAAACAGCTTAGTTAGAAATATAGAGGCACAAAAAAAGATGTGCCCACTCTAACAATGTCAAACATTGATTTAAATAGTTCCTATTTTAAACTATTAATTAAAATACATTAAGTTAAATAGTTATTGTTCATACGCTAAGACTTATTCGCGTAGTCGTCGTGACTGCTTCTTAACAATCGTATTTGTGCCAACCATAAAACTATACGTATTATAATCGAGTACGATTACATTAGATCGGTAATATCACAGTCGTGTACAGAATACTCTTAGCGCCCTAAATAGCTGTAACTGCAACGCTATTTGAGCCCTGAACTCCGAAAACTTCTTGTTAGACTAGAATGACATAGTCGAAGCTCGTTTCTTAAGGAACGCACTCGCTGTGAGTTGGAGTTTAAAAATAAATATTAATTTGGCTCAATAAATACTTAAAAGTTGCAGTTTTCTTCATAAATATTCAAGATCACTTGCTATCTTGTATCGGGATAGCAAAACAATATAACACATACCCAATTGCACGATTTGTTGCATCGATTAATTATATGAAAAAAAAAAAAAAACAAATGCATGAGTTAGTTCACACGGTCAACATAAACTAAATTTCCAACAAAAAAAACCTCCAGGAGAGATTCAACACATCGGGCAATTTTATATCCATACATTCGATACATGAGAAATACAAGCTAACAACTGGAAACGTATGGGTTTAGTTCCTTATCTATAGTAGTATCTATTTCTCTACTTGTAATAATGAAATATGCATTATGAGTGAAGTTTGCCTAAGGTCTGAAAATGATCCAGAGTGCTTAAATGAAAAAAAGAAACACTGACTTCTATTACACCACACTCAAATAAATTAAAGTACATTAACTAGGAAAATATATGTCGAATGGAAAGGAATCTTTCAGGTTGTAGTTTTGTAATGCCCTGAAAACACAGTATATTAAAGGTATTGAATTAGCATTTTGTTAATGAATACAGGGAGAATGCTGATACAAGGACTTCTTACTAAAGGTAAAATCTGTTTAATTATTTTAGTTCTCCCACCAGTCATCACGACTGTTGCTATTGCCATAGTTTCCTCCAAAGTTGCTCGCTCTGTCTAAGCCACTGTAGTGACCTCCTGAAATAAAATTCACAATTATTTACCTGTATACATGATTCGGTAAATTCTTCATTTTTGAAATTCGACAAGTTGGGGTTTAAAATATATACAGGCTGTTACAAATTCGTTTTTTCACTACAGGGATTTCGGAAACAGTAAGAGATATGAACTAGCTTAAATGGGGGCAAAATTGTGTAATCAGGGAACCAACATATTATGCCTCTAAAAAATCACAGCCAACCTGATTAGCTTTCGAAATACAGCGAAAATCGGTTATAATGACCTTCAAGGAACCGTTTGTTTACAGTTGTTATAACCGATAGACGTAATAAGCAATTACATATATGTTATTTAAAATTTTTATAGAAAAAATGAGAAATTTACAATACAAGTCTTTAAGTATGTACATGATTATTTCTATCCTTCCAAATTGTCAAAATCGTAGTGTGACACACCACTTTTTTTCGGGCAAAGCGGGACTTTGAGATCTTTTGAGTAAAAAAGCGGGATTCTTTCATCGAAAACGGGACATACTAAAAAAATGTATATAATTAATAGTTTTTAACTACTTATCCTCTTATTTTAGTTTCAAATTTAGTTTACATGACGATAGCCAAAATTGCCAATGAAAATATACTTTACTATAATAATCGCCGCGCCGTCGAGTAATCACTGAAAAGCGGGATTGAGCCTGTCCCGTGCGGGACGTTTAATTTCGGGCTAAAAATCTGGACTTCCCTCCAAAATCGGGACGCCTGGTAACGTTGCACCACACATTCTTTTGCTTGCTTGCATTAATTTCTCCATTTTCTAACCTCTATATATTATATGTGATTTTTCTTCTTTATTAAACGCTTTTGTCTTCGATATCGTTATAGAAAGTGGTAATTAATGCATATAATATAACTGGATGTGTAGATACATAAGTCGTAATTTGTCTCAAATGTACCAATTGGTGTCAAAAGCAAAGATGCCGGCGGGGTGGACGGAAGAGCGGTGCATTGGTTTTAAGGCCGTATATCACTAATGGTTGTTATAACTGATAAATTATATGGTAAATGTATGTAAAAACGAGTCGTTAAATCCGAAATGTAGTAAACGGTATCGTAGTAAACGATATTTTTAATATCGTTATATTATATATTTTATGGAATTTAATTGCGACTTCCAAATTCCGTCGTTATAACCAATTTTCAGTGTATTTGAAAAAATCCGAAATATTGGAAATCCGTTTTTATTTCACTTCAGCCTTGTGATTGATTGAAAAAAGAAGAACACTTTCTCATGGCAACTTTTTGCCCTCTATTGGATTGCATAATCAATTTTTATATGTAACGTTTCGTCTTTCCAGGACCATCGTCAACTTCATTTTTTTAAATACGGACCTGGAAATTTTATTAGATTTTTCAGATTCAGAAGTTTTGTTTCTATGTTTATTGAATTATCCTACACTCTGTCATTAGACCCTGCGAAATCCACCTATAGTAGGATCGTATTCGATGCAAAGTAGAGCAAAAAGTTGTGGGTCAAGACGTAGTTGAAAAGACGTTATTAGTATTGTTAATAATAGCACATAGTATAGTTTAAAACATTGTAAATGTTTAGTAACATGAGTAGAGAATAGACATATGGCCGAGGAGTGTAGCGTGAAAGGGAAATAAAGTCCAAAAGCGTAGTAGAACATTTCTGGTCCCCTTATCCGGCCCTAGAAGCTAACCTGACTAATCCTCTTATGTTGGAAGGCAAACCAAAAAGCCAACAATATTTTGGTGATAAGTTGATTTCATTCTCATATGGTTACTATGGAAAATGTACCGTTCCTATATCATTTCCTTTGTTTAATATAAATTATTTTATAATTTCTCTCAAATCAGTTACAGTGGACTTGTTAAGTTTTGCGTGCAAGCTACAGAATTATACTTAGCTTAGTACTTACACTTAGTACTTTTTGTTTGTTTTAAAAGAGTGAATGGGAATAAGATTTGAAATTTATTTTTTAGTCTCTTACTATTCAGTAAAAATAAAGGCTTGCCTATTTAATTGCATTTTATTTTCCTGACCCATCCTAAATTCAATACTTGTATAAACTCAATACTTGTATATAATATACTCAGTACATGTATATAATATACTCAATACTTGTATATAATACTTATATTGAGTATATAATGATCAATACTTGTATAAACCTCCTAGGTATAAAAATATAAATTAAAACATGCCATATTTCAAATTTTACAAAAATACCATATGTTACTAGAATGCACCGGCTCCAAAATACATAGTAAAATATCATGGAACAATTATAATAATAACTCGAGTATTCACGTTGTCTGTCAATGAAATAAAGTATGATTTACATGGTTTCTCTTGACGATTTTTTCACAATTTAAAATAAATCGTACTTTTGTACTAAATGCGATATTTAAAATCTAATCAAATGTCAACAGTAAACAAAATCCTGTTCTCTTCAAAATTGGATACATGGGTGTCTATCTGATCATTGGAACTTCACATTATCCAAGTTATGCGACAGTTTCCCACCTGTTCCAAATGTTCTCAAATAAATCTAACTTTTTCGTTTTTGATGAGCTATAGCGTCTTTGAGTGAGATGTGCAAAATTTGAAAATACTAGATATGTGAAATTATCCGAACAAAATGGCATATAAAATATTTGATATAGTGGTTGAGTTTGAGGGGGATTTTTTTTTTCCTTTAAGGGGTGTAATTTCTTTCAGTGGGGTTGTGCAAAACTTAAAAATAGATATGCACAAACGTATAAATGTATCCAAACAAATTGACATAAAAGTTAGGTTTGATTGAGTAGTGGAGAAGAACTTCGGTGAGGTGTGAAAAATTTAAAAAATGAGGTGCCAGATAACCCGAACAAAATAGTATAAAAAATCTTAATTTGAGTTTTCCGTTCCTGTCCTGTGTTGTAACTTCTTTCAGAGAAATATGCAAATTTTCAAAATCGGTGACTATTCAAATCTTTCTTGTATAAGTTAGAGGAGGGACTGCCAAGTTTGCTCCCAATATAAAAAATTGCTGCAGTTTGTTACATGCATGTGCAAGATCAGCAAATGAGCGTGTGAAAGATTTACAAATAGTTAGCTCGATTACTGTAGTTTTAAAGTAACGGACCCTGTATTTGAGAAACACTAAAATATAACCAGTATCTAATATTCATTTCGCCAGTGGAAAATATCGTTTTATTAAAAAAGAACATGTCTTCAAATGAAAGCCTACGTTGTGTGCACAAAAACCAACTACCGAAACATATGGAAGTCCTAGGTGAAAACATTTTTTAACTAATAATAAATAAAATTCATACCTCCATTTCCATAGCCACTGTTGCCGTAACCATTGCCAGACCGTTGGCTTCTTTGCATGCCACCAGACTGCTGACGATAATCTCTACTTCCAAAGCTGCCACCTCCGCCAGAGCCATATCGTCCTTTGCCACCTCTACGTCCGGAGCTAGGCACCCTGCCATCTGCGGCAACATTTTCCAACCAGCTGGGATACTCCTGCTTGGCCTCGATTAATAAATCCAGCATTCCACTGGCCAAGTTCCTGTTGCGATCATTGAAAAATGACGTAGCAAGACCCAAGTTCCCCATACGGCCTGTACGTCCAATACGGTGAACGTATTCCTCGATATCAGAGGGCAAATCGAAATTGATCACGTGCTTGACGTGTGGGATGTCCAGACCACGAGCAGCAACTGCTGTTGCTACAAGAATCGGTGTATTTCCCGATCTGAATTGCCTTAGGGCATCCTCACGTTCGCGCTGGGTTCTATCCCCATGAATGGAAGTAACTGGATAGCCCTCCATGTGGAGAAACTCTTCGAGAGAATCGGCCCCCTTCTTCGTCTCCACAAAAACTAATGTAAGACTTTCAGCTGAAGGCTGTTGCAGATCAGCTACATTGAGTAAATCCAACAAGAAAGAACGTTTATCATGTTCCAGGCCGTATATCACTAATGGTTGTTATAACTGATAAATTATATGGTAAATGTATGTAAAAACGAGTCGTTAAATCCGAAATGTAGTAAACGGTGTCGTAGTAAACGATATTTTTAATATCGTTATATTATATATTTTATGGAATTTAATTGCGACTTCCAAATTCCGTCGTTATAACCAATTTTCAGTGTATTTGAAAAAATCCGAAATATTAGAAATCCGTTTTTATTTCACTTCAGCCTTGTGATTGATTGAAAAAAGAAGAACACTTTCTCATGGCAACTTTTTGCCCTCTATTGGATTGCATAATCAATTTTTATATGTAACGTTTCGTCTTTCCAGGACCATCGTCAACTTCATTTTTTTAAATACGGACCTGGAAATTTTATTAGATTTTTCAGATTCAGAAGTTTTGTTTCTATGTTTATTGAATTATCCTACACTCTGTCATTAGACCCTGCGAAATCCACCTATAGTAGGATCGTATTCATGCAAAGTAGAGCAAAAAGTTGTCGGTCATTTATCAAAGGAAAATCGTGTCATCATTTTTAGGAGGCGTAAGATGAACCATTTCAAATTTAAAATGAAATTAAATTTAAATCTGAAATACCGTTGCAAACGCACTGTGTTCTGGTAGTAGCTGTAGTCGCCCAGGTGCATCGAAGTGGTCGGTTATATGTCAAATAACTAATATGCACTAACCTGACGAGCTTGGTCGTAAAACAGAGAGCGCCTCCAAAAAACAAGTAAACTACAGTGGCGCGCACAGAGGTAAAATGTAGTACATGTGGAAATTAAAAACAAATTGGATTTATAATAAATTAAATTTAAAATAAATAGTTTATGAGAATAAAGGGATTTTTGTAGGAACAAGGGTGCCAGACATGAACTGATCCCTTCGTCCCTTCATAATGGATAAAGAAATTATTCAATTTCTAAAACCCTTAAAAGCGTACTGCATTGGTTCCCTTGACAGGCAATGATTTATTACTTTGCATCGAATATGATCCTACTATAGTTATTTAAACTTGACAAGTCCATACTTTCTTACCAAAAGTTTACATATCCAAATCATTTTTTTAATATAAAGCCCGAACTAAGATTATAATGTTGATAATATTGGTGTAAATGAAGAAGAAGAGTATGAAGGAGACAGAAGGAAAGAGAGGAAGTCGAGAAGTGAAGCCGTGAAGACGTAGTCGAAAAGACGTTATTAGTATTGTTAATAATAGCACATAGTATAGTTTAAAACATTGTAAATGTTTAGTAACATGAGTAGAGAATAGACATATGGCCGAGGAGTGTAGCGTGAAAGGGAAATAAAGTCCAAAAGCGTAGTAGAACATTTCTGGTCCCCTACCNGAAAAGACGTTATTAGTATTGTTAATAATAGCACATAGTATAGTTTAAAACATTGTAAATGTTTAGTAACATGAGTAGAGAATAGACATATGGCCGAGGAGTGTAGCGTGAAAGGGAAATAAAGTCCAAAAGCGTAGTAGAACATTTCTGGTCCCCTTATCCGGCCCTAGAAGCTAACCTGACTAATCCTCTTATGTTGGGAGGCAAACCAAAAAGCCAACAATATTTTGGTGATAAGTTGATTTCATTCTCATATGGTTACTATGGAAAATGTATCGTTCCTATATCATTTCCTTTGTTTAATATAAATTATTTTATAATTTCTCTCAAATCAGTTACAGTGGACTTGTTAAGTTTTGCGTGCAAGCTACAGAATTATACTTAGCTTAGTACTTACACTTAGTACTTTTTGTTTGTTTTAAAAGAGTGAATGGGAATAAGATTTGAAATTTATTTTTTAGTCTCTTACTATTCAGTAAAAATAAAGGCTTGCCTATTTAATTACATTTTATTTTCCTGACCCATCCTAAATTCAATACTTGTATAAACTCAATACTTGTATATAATATACTCAGTACATGTATATAATATACTCAATACTTGTATATAATACTTATATTGAGTATATAATGATCAATACTTGTATAAACCTCCTAGGTATAAAAATATAAATTAAAACATGCCATATTTCAAATTTTACAAAAATACCATATGTTACTAGAATGCACCGGCTCCAAAATACATAGTAAAATATCATGGAACAATTATAATAATAACTCGAGTATTCACGTTGTCTGTCAATGAAATAAAGTATGATTTACATGGTTTCCCTCGACGATTTTTTCACAATTTAAAATAAATCGTACTTTTGTACTAAATGCGATATTTAAAATCTAATCAAATGTCAACAGTAAACAAAATCCTGTTCTCTTCAAAATTGGATACATGGGTGTTTGTCTGATCATTGGAACTTCACATTATCCAAGTTATGCGACAGTTTCCCACCTGTTCCAAATGTTCTCAAATAAATCTAACTTTTTCGTTTTTGATGAGCTATAGCGTCTTTGAGTGAGATGTGCAAAATTTGAAAATACTAAATATGTGAAATTATCTGAACAAAATAGCATGTAAAATATTTGATATAGTGGTTGAGTTTGAGGGGGATTTTTTTTTTCATTCATGGGGTGTAATTTCTTTCAGTGGGGTTGTCAAAACTTAAAAATAGATATGCACAAACATATAAATGTATCCAAACAAATTGACATAAAAGTTAGGTTTGGTTGAGTACTGGAGAAGAACTTCGGTGAGGTGTGCAAAATTTAAAAAACGGGGTGCCAGATAACCCGAACAAAATAGCATAAAAAATCTTAATTTGAGTTTTCCATTCCTGTCCTGTGTTGTAACTTCTTTCAGAGAAATATGCAAATTTTCAAAATCGGTGACTATTCAAATCTTTCTTGTATAAGTTAGAGGAGGGACTGCCAAGTTTGCTCCCAATATAAAAAATTGCTGCAGTTTGTTACATGCATGTGCAAGATCAGCAAATGAGCGTGTGAAAGATTTACAAATAGTTAGCTCGATTACTGTAGTTTTAAAGTAACGGACCCTGTATTTGAGAAACACTAAAATATAACCAGTATCTAATATTCATTTCGCCAGTGGAAAATATCGTTTTATTAAAAAAGAACATGTCTTCAAATGAAAGCCTACGTTGTGTGCACAAAAACCAACTACCGAAACATATGGAAGTCCTAGGTGAAAACATTTTTTAACTAATAATAAATAAAATTCATACCTCCATTTCCATAGCCACTGTTGCCGTAACCATTGCCAGACCGTTGGCTTCTTTGCATGCCACCAGACTGCTGACGATAATCTCTACTTCCAAAGCTGCCACCTCCGCCAGAGCCATATCGTCCTTTGCCACCTCTACGTCCGGAGCTAGGCACCCTGCCATCTGCGGCAACATTTTCCAACCAGCTGGGATACTCCTGCTTGGCCTCGATTAATAAATCCAGCATTCCACTGGCCAAGTTCCTGTTGCGATCATTGAAAAATGACGTAGCGAGACCCAAGTTCCCCATACGGCCTGTACGTCCAATACGGTGAACGTATTCCTCGATATCAGAGGGCAAATCGAAATTGATCACGTGCTTGACGTGTGGGATGTCCAGACCACGAGCAGCAACTGCTGTTGCTACAAGAATCGGTGTATTTCCCGATCTGAATTGCCTTAGGGCATCCTCACGTTCGCGCTGGGTTCTATCCCCATGAATGGAAGTAACTGGATAGCCCTCCATGTGGAGAAACTCTTCAAGAGAATCGGCCCCCTTCTTCGTCTCCACAAAAACTAATGTAAGACTTTCAGCTGAAGGCTGTTGCAGATCAGCTACATTGAGTAAATCCAACAAGAAAGAACGTTTATCATGTTCCTCAACCCAGACAACCTGGAATATTAAAAATTATTTTTTATATAAAATAAACAGAGTGGTAATAACAGTCCATACCTTTTGTGTAATATTTTCAGATGTAGAACCGACACGGCCAACAGCCAGAAAAATGTAATTATCAAGAAAGTCACGAGCTAACATCTGAATGGGAGATGGGAAAGTTGCAGAGAACATGAGAGTCTGACGTTCACCGGTTTTCGGCATTGATTCTTTCTCAACGACTCTACGAATCTGCTGTTCGAAACCCATATCCAACATACGGTCTGCTTCATCAAGAACTAAATAACGACAATAATCGAGACCAATTCTACCACGGTCAATCATATCAAGTAAACGACCAGGGGTAGCAACTAAAAGGTGGCAACCACGGTCAAGTTCTCTCATTTGGTCGCCAATATGAGCACCTCCGTACCTGTAAATAAAACAAATCAGAGTAAGACATAACTTCCCTTAAACACATCAGAAACTTACACAACACAAGGACGTACACGAGATCTGTAAGAAAATTTCTTACACTCGTCATAAATCTGTGTAGCCAACTCACGGGTAGGAGCCAACACTAAACCAAGGGGGTACTGCTTCCTACGACTTCTACCGTGCTGTATGTTTGGGGGGCCCCCCTCAAACATCTGGTTCAGAATGGGTACCAGAAATGCTGCAGTCTTGCCTGAACCTGTCTGGGCACAAGCCATAACATCTCGCTTTCCTATAATAATCGGAATCGCATACTTTTGTACTGGGGTAGGGGAATCGTAACGGGCTAACGCAATATTGGTGCGGATTAGTTCAGTCAACTGTACTTCCTCAAACTGAAAACAAAACATATCAAAACATTTTATAAGCTGCAAAATTAAATAACACACTAAATGTCCAATTCAAAAAAGATTATCCGCATGCCAACACAAATGGATTTCAAAATTTCTCGAAATTCAACATTTATGCTTATAAAGTATGAAGTAACCCGGGGCATAGTTTTAGGTCCTAATTATATTATATATTTATTTATACAGAACAGCTCACTCAAGAAATAAATAATATTATCCTATAATGGGTATGCTAATGGTGAATAAAAAAATATAATTTACTCTTAGGCTGGTAAAAATTGTGATTAATATTATCCGGAATTATACACTTAATTAACACTGAAGTACTGCATTTATTTCAATACATACAATAGCAACATAAACATGCAGATATTTGCTAAAGTAAGTAAATGTTTGGTAGAACTTGGTATCCAACTGGATAACTGCCAAAGAGCTGAGTTACGAAAGTTACTCCAAAAGAAATGAACATTTTTTCAAAAATCCAACTTTCCGCTATCAATTCTGGCACGTATGTGGCAACCCTTTAGAAACTTTATGCTCAACTGTGTCGCGTTCAACAACATCGACAAAAACACGGTGTTTCGCTGTTGCATGATAATGTCTGGCCACATGTCAGTGAGAAAAGCACCATTGAGATCACAAAGCCTGGATGGACAACATTGAAACACCCACCCTACAGCCATGATCTGGCACCGTGTGATTCTCTTCAGTAAATTGAAGGAATCCCTTTGCAAAATGAGATTTGAAGATGATGGCAGTTGAAAGAAATGGAGATTATGTAGAAAAATTACATTTTGTTTCTCAAGAATGTATCAACGTACTGAAAAATATGAAAGGTGTGGAAAATAAATTGGATTTTTAAAAAAACATTGTGTTTCTTTTGGAGTGACCCTCATAATTCTCAGACATCTCGATCAGGATTTTATCAATCAATCAACATATTGTTGGAAAATTGTAGACAGATTATTTCTTTCTGCTCTGCCTGCATTAACTAACTGACTTCTATCTTAGATGGCATGAACATATTTAAGAAGTCTATACAAAATTATCTTATGTTTTCACACTCTTCTTAAAACTGGAATTATTCATTAGAGTTGTGCTCCAAATTTTGAATAAAAGTGATAAAAGTTATCTTCCAGTTTTTGACTGCTTACTCATCCATAAAAGTTACAGCAGTTGCATTTTGTACAATTATTAGATATCCAAAACAAGAGAATCCATCTGTTTGTGGTAAGAAGTCAGCAATGTCAACACCGTCAAATGTAAGAAAGAGTGCCTCAAATATATTAATTTATTGCTTAAACTGTTGGAATAGGGTAACAAAAGTAATAAGTATTATAAATAATGAGGACAAATGCATAATTTGTCAGATGTGACAGCATCAATCGAAATGCCCCCTGGATTGTGATGGTCTACAAGTGTCAAATTTTGTGGGCAAGTGACAGACCTTTAACTGATCTGATAGCATAATTTACAAAACCAATAAAACAACAAACCACCTACTGACAGTAAAAATTCCCAAAATCTGAAAACACTTTAGGAAAGATTGTTGTTAGAACAGACGTCCATATGGCATGTCAATTTTTAATGGTTTGATAATTGTATACAATGTACAAACGCGATTAACAATAGATTAAAACCGATTTCACTAGTTTGCGATTATTTTAAATGACAAACAATACAAAACACAAATTGTAGGTTGAATTCGATCTTTGAAAGTGTCAAATAAAACATTAAACTGAAAAATTTCTCAACAAGCAACAAATTAATTAACGTGACATTTGGAAACTATTTGAAATTGAATAACCGGATTACAGGGAGTGCAAATTATTTATCAGAAACAGTGAGAGGTAAGTAATTCAAGTTTCTGCAAACCCTACAAATGCACTGAGCATCCTTGTCATGGTTGCCAACTATTTTTGACTGCTCTATAAACAAACTAACTGTAAATACATATTATTAAGTATTGTACATAGTTTTCTATAATATTTCTTTTATAGTATGCAAATTATGACTACATTCCGATTTATAAAAAAATCAATGAACTATCCATCTAATCTAATCTACAAAATGTTTTAAAAACACAACTTTTTCTTTTAGATTAATAAAATATTTGCGCAAAAAGCAATTAATACAACAGTACATAAGTTATTTTTCCACTTACAGATGTAATATTTCTCGGGACTTTATCACCGGTTGCTTCAACAGGAATATCTTCATATTTGCTGAAGTTGATTCCAGTATTACCGGTACCAAAGAGCTCAGTCTCGACACGCTCATCTCTGGGCAGAGGTATGGTCCAGTCGTTCTCGTTGCGTCGGTTGTCGCCCCAACGGCCTCCGGCCCCTCCAGAATTGTCGTTGTTACTCCAACGACCTCCACCCCCTCCGCCACTCTCGCGTGTCTTCTCCGGCTCCTGCCATCTATCATTACGGGGCAGGTCACGCTCCCTCTCCTGACCTCTGCCACCGCCTCCATGGCTCCAATCATTGCCCCTTTTTAAAAACGCAATTAATCGCATAATAATCTTTAATGATGTGTCTTTCCTTATGATATAACATTCAAATATATTAAAAAATACCTATATTAGAAAATATATGGCCAAAATCAGTGACAATAAATAAATAATCAACAAAGTTCGACAATGACCAATTTTTCTTGCTGTTTCAAAAATTCCTTTCCAAATTCCAAAAAGTTTTGTATATAAGAAATAAAAGTTATATTACTATTACACCAAAGAGATAAGTTTCAAAGACTGACAACAGTTTAGCAGTAATTTTGACATGACTAAATGATACATTGTATTATATACAGGGTGTTTTGTATTGTAGCTGTGTTATATTTCAAATGTTAACCTTGACATGAAAATGCTCTACAAAAAATAAGTCTCCTAACTAAAAATTCATTATTTTAATAAATGTTCGTGTCTGCTTCAACATATGTTTTGAGGTCAATGAATGGTAGACCTTTTCTAAATCAACAGATGCTTAAAGTTGCACAACAGCTTCTTTAATTTTTTGCAGTAACTCTTCTCTTGTTTCATCTAATTCTGCATAAATGGACTGATTCATACAATTTCAATTAAAAAAAAAAATAAAGAAAGTTATGGAGATCTATGTAGCCAAAGCAATGATCCATGGCTAACGATCCACAAAATGTAATTATACCACTGAGATACTTATCTTCCTTTATCAGCAGTTATGTCATCTTGATAATACGTATGTGACTTCTTGAGTCAACTCATAAACCATAAAAAATGATTCCCATTTTTTTTTAAATTGTCTACTTTATGCTTTGCGATGCTCTTTTTTGTTTAAAATTTTCTTAAAATAAGAAAAACTACTTCAAATCATGAAAATATTAAGAACGGAAATGTTAGGAAGATATGAGTCAGCTAAGAACTCCCACGATGTTAGATAGTATGTAATGTTTCACATAGATTTAATGACGCTTAAGTAGTATACACTCAAAGATAAAATTTAATTCTATAAAGGATATAAAAGTATATTTTTTAAATTAACAAATAATATCCTTAGTGGGCATGTATGATAGAAAAATATTTTCACTCTTACTTTGGCTAGATATAAAACCTGATAAATCATGCTCACACAGGAACATCCTCTATAAATAAATGAGAACAATAAAAAACTAAATGAACTTTTTTGAAGATGTAACGCCAAGCTAAAAATTTCACTACAACTGGGAATGAATTTCATTATCAAAATTACACATATTTCGAAAGGGTGAATAATATAGTTGTTCAAAAAAATGTATGTGAAGTTTGAGCAAATTTAAATTGCGAATGCAATCAACAAATCATTATGGGATTTTTCAATAAATATCGAATTGATATGACCTTGTAAAGAACATTGAAAAACTAGATGAAGGCTCAATTTAAGGAAAACCAACAGAAGGATAAATATATAAGTAAAGGATTATTTTATAAGTGACAAATAAAAAAAAATTACTAAATCCATTCAAATTTACAGACATAAACTATATAATATGGACACCAGGTACTTTATTCTTGAATTACAGGGAGTACAAGGAACGAGAGAAAGGGGACGTGTCTATACTAAAACTCATTAATGGGTATTCTTGAATGGTGTTCTATTGAGTAATGATAGAAAAATTGTTCCCTATTTCTTCTACTGATATTTTCGGGGGAACAGGCAGGGATCATTAAACCTAATCCTATATTTTTTGACATGTTTCACAAATTACGAATTCTGCAATCTGTCTGTAATATTCGTATAATTTGTGTTTATGTGAATAGTACATGAATAAAATAATAATAGAGTAAAATGGATCTGCCTAATATAGTATTAAAATATTTGTAAGTTCTTCCTAGTTAGCCCTCATTTTCTTTCTAGTGTAGCTGGGTGTTAACTTTCCAGTGTACATTTGTTTTTTATCTTCAATATATTCTATTAGGAGTTTCTTTCCTTTTTAGACTGCACCTGACACTGACAGACAAATAACAATAACTCTAAATAAAGTAGCATTTATTCCATGACTAGATCATCACTAGTTTTCATTCTACCGCCTATTTACTGCTTTCTAATTGGTCGGTACATTTGACAACATTGTCACTCGTTCTTCACTTTCATTAATCAAACCTTTTGTGTCGAGAATACAATATGAATTTTGTGATAGAACAGTAGTAGAGCGAAATGAGGGAACGTTCCCCAGGGAGCAATCTATTCTCTCACCGTCAAGAATCGAGCTCCAGATCAAGGTATATTCTAAAGCTGCCTGTTACAAAAGCAAAATATAGCAAATTTTTCGAAGTATAAATAATGTCTGAAAATATTCATAAATTGTTTCAGTAATGGAAAATAAATTAATATCAGTATACAAAAATAATAGGAGTAAATGATCCGTCAAGTGTACTCATTTCATAGCTCACCTGTCATAGGCATCGCCATTCTGGTAATTGTCTCTCCTATTTCGGGAATTGAAACTGGAGAAGTCTCCGCGATTGTCGCGTCCGCTGTCTCTACTATAAGTGCCTCGAGTTCCTCTACCTCCTCTTGATTCTTGTCCTCTGTCTCTATCGAAACGATCTCTATCGTAACTAGTAGTAGTAGTATCGGACTGACTACTTTGCTTGTTGCGCAAATGTGGGGGCACGTAGCGGCCGCTTGAACTGCGACTCTGCAAGTCCAGACCAGCAAACTGGAAGAAAAATATTATTTAGATATTCAGAAAATTATTAAATATCAACTAAATTCAAAAATAATTAAATACACAATCAAAATAAATCAAAATGTTGCAGTAAATCAAATGAAATATTTCTTTGTAAAATATGTAGATATACAATAATTACTTTAAATGCATACATATGTATACATCCACTAAGCAGATACAGGTAAAAAAAAATTAGGAAATATCTGATTTAGCTTGGTAAGAAACTCTGAACTAAAGATTCAGAGTTTCTTCTGAAGAAGACAGCAATGACTTGAAATGTCAGGAAGTCTAAACAGATGACTTGTCTACCAATTCAATATCTGATTTGTCGGTAGTATTTATGCCTCCTGAACTATAAAATAATGGGAATGTTTTGCTGTTCTGCAGAGCTTAGGGAACCTGTTGTTTCTTGATTAAGATATGTTTTTGATTTCAGTAGGTATATAAAATGTTTTTTTAATGGTAAACCTCATAACTTTTATGTGGATGGTCAAATTTTACATCTTGATCGTAACAATTGCATTGTTTCCAGATTTCTACATTTTTGATATAATAAACAACCTATTATTTTAATGTAATATTGGTTACTGTCTATAATAATGAGAAAGATACATGCAAAAGTGTTATAAGCGCCATAAGTGCATAAGTGTCATAATTGCTATAAGCCTAATATGCTAGAGACAGATTAGTATTAGTAGTGTTTGTCTAACGTTATGGCACACTCTTTTAGGTATAAAACAGACAACTTCCACTTCTACTACTAAATAAGTACTCCTACAGAAATACTAAATATCCGACTTGACTTTCATAAATATGCTCGTATTTCGGGAACTAATTTATTAAATCTGTAATTCATTCTTGAACTGTATATTTGTTAATTTAATTTCCTTAGTTTTTAGAGAATTTGGAGAGATAAAGGTTCTGTATTCAACAATACACAATTCCATCATTTTCCAATTCAATGTTATTTCTCGGTTTGCATGCAATATAAAGTTACTAATGATGTCAAAACTTTAACAGCATCTTACGCTTAGCTAAAGGCATTCTTGCTTTATTTGAATTAAAAAATGAATTGATGTGAGTCACCCTCTCCCTTGTACTTATACAGGGTGAGTCGTTTTTTGTGGTAGGATTTTAACAGTTGATAGAGATTCATTTTTTAATAAGAAAAGTTCCTATAAACGTAGGTCTTAGAACGCTTCGTTTGTGAGATATAGGGTGTTGAAAACAAACTTTTTTTAAGAATTTTTCTTAATATCTCTAAAATACCAACATATATTGAACTGAAATTTAGTATTAATAACACATTAGTTATGGTGAATAAAACAAAGATATCTGTTATTCATTTTTTCACACACCAGTGACGTGCCTGAGGTGGGTTACTGTTACTGCCCCCTTTAAAAAAATAATTCGTACGCCCGTGGATTTTTCTGGAAATTAACATCATTTCTAAATTTTTTAATCAATTCTAAACAAAACAGCTCTTTTTCAATTTTTTATAAAATTAACGGTTTTTGTTTAAATTCATTTGGCATAGAACTGTTCCAACGATATTGGTAACTAATACATTTATGAATTAATAAGAAAAATATGATGTGCACTGAAAATCAACAAAAACGATTGAATGAATAATAACAGTTGATAGAGAATCATATTTTAATAAGAAAAGTTCCGATAAACATAGGTCTTAAAACGCTTCGTTTGTGAGATATAGGGATATAAGACCAACAGATATTAAACTGAAATTTGGCATGAAAAAACAAACACAGAACTTAAAAAAAGAACTACATAATTGACACACACGTTACACAATGTTTGCGTTCTTATGTTAACGTTATGACATTTAACCGTTTTTATTGATTTTCAGGGTACATCATATGTTTCTTATTACAAATGTATTACCAATATCGTTGGAACAGTTTCATGCCAAATGAATTTAACCAAAAACCGTTCATTTTATAAAAAATTGAAAGAGA